ACTTCAGCACGGAAAAATATGAATCGTTTCTCCGCAGTGCTTAGTAGCATAGGAAATTCCTTGGAAATCAACAAAAATTTGGATTTCGCCCATTTCTGCCTATATTTTCTCCAACTACGCTGATCTGAATGGAATTTAATTCTAGTAAACAGCATTTTGCGCCTCAAGCCAACCCAGTGAACTACATAAACGACCTTAAGTTTGTGTTAAATCCCCCACTCCTAAAACTTTCATCAGATATGTCACCTACTGTATGAGTGCTGTTTGAAAATGTAAAGAAAAATCAACTCTCAAAAAAGAAAACGAATTTTAATAACAAAGTTGTCATGTCGCTATATTAATGCAGTAGGGAAAACGCTCACGGCTAATTTTACATAGCTGTGAAATGATAATTCAAGCCAGACCAGGCTATATATTGTAATTAGAGGAACTTTCATAGCGTTATCTTACCTCATAATCAAACGCAAATTTCCTCATAGGAAATCTGAATAGATTTGATAACAAACTTCTAGGAAGTAAGCCACACAAATCAAATTTGTAATTAGGCTATTTGTTTATATATTGCGAGAAGAGCTTGCACCTGATCCAAGTTACTTTTGTCGATCAGATTTTTAATTTACGTTTGGTACGTCACATACCGTAATTTTAATCAATAATCTATTTAGCAGGTCTCACATTCTCACACGATCTCAGTTATGTCCTAACAGAAACCCCCTTTAGCTTAGCTTATATAAACTAATTGAACTTTTCATCTAACGCATAGTGGATTTTTGCTAGTTATAGCGGTAAAATCTAAGTGAGAATGCTTTACTGATTTTATCATCAGAGGGCTAGTAAAACTACTGTTTTTGCGCTCAAATTCCTGCACAATTCCGAAATAGGCAAAACATTGATATTTACTCTGATACCAACATTAAGACGTGTACAAAACCTTTGCAGATAAATGAGCAACATAAGCGAATATGTTCCTTAAACGACACATAAAAGTCCTTATTTTAAAGCATTCTTAAGCTCTGCAGACAAAACAAATTGCTATAAAGTGGACCAATAACTTTGAACATAATCGTCGAATGAAATAATATCAACGCCATTTTAGTTATATCAAAATAACTTTTCGTTCGTCAATTTTTTGTACATAATTTAGGCGTTAGATTACAATACGTTTGAAGTTATCTATTTAATTTTAGCAATTTTTCGATAACTTTCAGATTTTCCAACCATTCTTCCAGAAATGCAGATTCTGTTCGACGTTTTTTATAAAAACATTTAAAATAAGATAATTCTTAAATGGTATTACCGAAAACGTGAAAATTCGCTCTTATTACAATAGTCATTCAGCTATATTTCTAAACTACACACAAGGCCAAAACTCATTCTCGAGCAAAACAAACGTCCACAACCGAAGTTTATTCTTGTTAGGCCTAAGATAAATTGAATTGATTTCTCTAACAGGTAAATCTTCAAAAAGAACTTAAATTCTACACTCAGTTGACGAGTATCTGCGCGTTTTCTTTTTTCAAAGCTAACGTCAGAGTGAAAATGAAAATAATGACTAGTTTCTTAATTAACCTGAAAGTGAATGACACACTATTAGCTAAAAAAGGAAGGCATTAATTTTTTCTTTATATTCGAATATATTGCATTATATTTGATTATCTTTGAGCCACGTTTTAATATTGCAGATGCAAAAGGTCTGGCGGAATATATAGATAGCTTTTGTCAAAATTTCTAATTTTCTGTCTGATCCCTTTGTAAATTACGCATAAAAGGGGATATATATTTTAGAAGTACATTTCTTGCTAGCTGCTTTAAAGTTAATGAGATTACTTTCTCTGTCCATTTTCAAGATAAAATATATGTAATTTTGGTTACTATGCCGAGTCGTCGATCAAGTAAAACAAAATGCGTTCAAAACATTGTAATTCGGTTTGCGACAGAAATCTTTAAAATACTTTTTAAAACTGAATTTTATCCTTATTTCTAAAAATCAAAGCCTCACCTGATTTTTATTAACCTAATAGTAGGTTCTATTGTACTGCTAGAGATATATTTTAAACTTTTCTTGGATATCAAGCCACGGATTTTTTTTATAAGAGTTGGAAAGCTCAGGACATTAAAACAATTGATCCGTTGATCGATAATTATCTTTCCTTATCAATGCAAATAACTGGAACGCAAATGTTTTCATTCATTTTTAAACCTTTTTTTGCTTACGATGGCGTTGTCTCACTGTATAAAGCAGAAGAATAAAAGGTTTGTTTCTGCCATATCAAATGGCTTTGGAAATTTGTTCGAAATCAGGTAACCTCCGATTTCACCTAATTCTGTCTGTTGCCGTTAAAAATGTTGAACTAAACAGAATATTTTCTCATTAAAGGCTTTCTCAAAATCAACCGCACTCCTTAGATCAAAACAACTTTATTATATATATGCTTAGCTAACCTCACATTATTTATGTCGAAATCACGGATACATATACTATATTAAGACAAGATTTTGATATAATTACCTCGGCAGTCCATGATTCGTTCGCTTTGGCACTCAAACGAAATAATAAACCCTATAAATGCATTAATATTTTTCCAAATTTCATTATATGCGATCTTAATTATACACTATATATTATTGACGCAAGTGAACCGTTGAAAATAAAAACTTCCAATCATGCTTCCCTTAGGTTCGTGGCAACCAATTAAATAACGAATGCCAGTTCGTCTTAGAAATATCCTATGTGGACTTAGCAGAACCACTGTTAACAAATGCACTAACGATCATTTTGGAAACCGGGGAGTGAAAGTTTTAGGAGCCCTTACAATTCCTAGTGGGTAATATTTACTATGGCAACACCGAGGGTTAGATCAAAACTTTACTTAACTAATTACTTAGCTTCAAAGTTAACGCTTATTTTAAAAAGAAATTGATGAGGAAGTTAGTTTTTTTCACTCTATATTTTTATAAGTTGACTAAAGACTACAAAGAGAAGAAAGTTCCTATCATTGACAGGAAATGATTTATTATTTCAGCCAAAATAGTACTTTTATTGTAATTTCTCAGGCAATTCGATTAACAGATACCGAAAAAATGGTTTTTTTATACGAAAGGCCGTGTTCTGTGACAATAGCTTGCTAACCAACAACACTCTTGAAGAACTCGAATAATTCCTCCCGGTCTAATTCTCCATCCCCATCTTTGTCATGCTTGTCAATGAAGGCCTGGAAAACGTCATCATCAAGCTTCAAGTCGGAAAGCGCTGCTTTCAATTCTTTGGCATCGATCTTGCCTGAGTTGTCCTTGTCGATAGCCTTCATCAGGGCATCAACATCGGCCATTCTTCATTAAGTTTTTAATTTAAAAGAAAAAAAGGTACTTACGTTACCGGCATTATGGGGTCTGTGGTGTGAGAGATCTACCTGTCTGTCTGCTTGTCGAGAAGCGAAGCGGAGACCTCTACGTCTAGTAATATGACACGGAGTGCACACATTGCCGCCAACAACACAAGTAATGCCTGACGACCCAATATTTGCGGCTGTAGATAGAAGTGCGGTTTGCGTCACCACCGCAGCAATGCGCACGCTGTGATCGATGAATGAGCGCCAATACGGAAGAGCCTTTGGAAAGGCTCCTAAACGCGCAATGGGTGAAGCTGGAGGCTAGCTCATGAATCCTCGGTAAGGGAAAGGTAGATGCATTCTGTTAAATCATCCAGTTAAAAACGGTGACGTAATTTGAGTGGCATTCTCCTGTTAAATTTGTAGGTCATCTTACGTGGGCAAAACATTTGCAGGATGTTTTACTCAAACGCAAACGTGGTTTGCGACCCAGCACAGACAGGAAATGAAAGTTAACTCTCCAAATAATAATTGCTGGAACGTGTATCGCGCAAATTATGGTAATAGGGGTTATAAATATGGGCAAAAGACGCACAGAATGCAGTTCGGAAAGCCATGTTTTCCACGTACATAAAATGCCCAGAGAAGGAGCAGGTGAAGTAAATTTCAAGAAAAATCAACGCCAGTTAATGCAAACAGTGAACATAACGGTCATTAGAGGATTTGCGTGAAGTTCGACTGCACACAACCAATAGGACGTGAGAAAAAGTATTGTTATTGTCCATGTTTTACTCATCGGAATCCATTTTCTGGTTTGCTGACTTTCGGACCGCTGGGCCGACCGTCCTTTGTCGAAGCGTATACCGACTTTATCGACCAGCAAATTTAAAGTTGCGGTTGTGCGTGTTGGCTTTGGGCTGATCGATTTTTTCTCCGCTCGCTGCTTGGCCCTTCGTGTGGATTTGGCATAGCTTGACGGTGGTTGGTGTTCTGTTTCGTCCCCGTGGTAGAAAATGCTGGTAATCCTGCTCCCTCTCCCGGTGGTTTCGTCACACGGCCGCCTTTGTCCTTTACTTACGTAATGCCGTAGGACTTTGTAGACCGTGGGCAGGTTCAGATGCCTGTTGACAGAGTTGGCGTCTGGGTGCCATGCCTCAAGCGTCAGTCTTTCTGCTTTTGAAGTTTCTTGGCCTACGATGGTCGCGTCTTGAATATCGAAGTTGGGGCCAGTCTCATCGACATGTGTTGCAAG